TGCTGCCAACACAAACGAAGAAGACATGCTGCCAATCCGAGCTGTGGTGGTGATCGCACTTACTGTTTGTCTGACTGCAAACACATCAGCAGGTTCGTATTTGTTTCCTTCTTGCCTTATTTTCTTTGATTTTTTGTCTGTTTAATCACATTTACACATAAGCATACACATATTTTAATTTAACACGTTTTCTTTCCTTCTTTCACAGCTTATCGTTACTGCTGTCGAAGGTACATGAGAGGCAGATTACCATGTTCAGCCATCGAGGGGTACTCAGTCCAGACTGTCACAGAGATGTGTCCCATCAATGCCATCATGTGAGCATCATTACAATTACTTTAACAAACTGCTTTAAAAAATTAAAAAAAAAAAAACTTGACACAACATTAGTGTTTACTGTGGGTGTACAAATATTAACATATTGCTTTGTTTTAATGTAGTTTCTACACAAAGAAGGGGAAAGCATGCGCCAATCCAGCTCTGAGATGGGTGATGAACTGTGTCGATCGCATAAGGTGAGATTTTTAGAAACAGAATAAAGAGCAAACACTGTCATTTTCTAATAAACAGCAGGAGAAGTAACTCCATCTATCATCATTTCAGGAATAGAGCGAAGAGGATCCACCAGCTCAGCAGCCTGTGATTCCTCACGGTTTTATAGTGAACGGCGTCTTATGGAGCCTGCTGCAAATGACAAATATGCTGCAGATATCAACTCAGTTTTAAGAGCTTGTGTAATATTAAATGTTTGTATTCGTTGTAAATATAAGAGTTGTCCATGAATTAAGCTGTGGTGAGAAAGAGTAACATTGAGTACCTGTTCAGGTCTAAAACCACTTCTGCTTGTGTGCTGTTGAATTTGTCCACATTAACACGTGACACTGCATGCCTCCTTTTATCTTAGTTCTTTGTTTATCTTCTCACGCTGAAAGATTCCAGCTCTGAAAGTTCTCACTGTGAGAAGTTTTCTGAAAGTTCTGTGCCACGTGATAAAAAACCCAGGAAGTCGTTAAACATTAATAGGTGAATTTCCAGTAACATAAGCAGAAAGACAATGCGGGACCTGTTTCTTTAAAGAACGTTGCAGAGCAGGTATTTCTTTGTTGACAGTTAGATGAGAAATCTGCCCTGATTTTAATCTGTAGCTTTTCTGTGGTTAAGCTAGTTTGACCTTTGACTTAGTATAATACCTTGTTACACATTACCTGCATTCATTTTGTGTTTAATCTTATTGTATTATATTCTGATTTATGAAGATCTTCATTTTTTTGTATTTTCCATTTAATTTGCTGCTTAAACACAGTCATTTCCCAGCTGTTGGCATAAATAAAGTATTTCTCGTCTTATCTTAATTATATTTTGCTGGATTCTGTGCATGCAAGGAACCGAGGCTCCTTCAGAAACAGCCTGTAGGCAGCAGAGTTATCAAAATTTGATTTTTTTAAAAATTTGATTGGTTTCAGTGTTAAGTTTTACTCACTACGATAAACTTGGCTGCAGTGGTAAGCGTCTGTGGGTAAGACATGAAGTAAATATTAAAGAACAGCAATTTATCTTTTTAATGGTAGTAATGTAATATGGCAATGAGGGAAAGATGTTTAAGTAGACAAAATAAGAAATACAAAAGGACTGTACAGCTGCAAAGTGCTGTCAGGAGCACATTTTCAATATTCTGCAAAGGTCTTGAGCAAACCCTAATTTCTTTAAAATTAGCTAGAAAAGTGAGAGATGTATGCAACGATTTATTGAAACATGTACAGACATAAATAGAAAGTCTATATAAAGTATATAAATCAAAAACAGAGTATGTACTGTTATGAAGGAAGGAAGGCTCAGGGTTTAAGTAATCAGCATCATGGGCTCATCCGATTAGAAGAATAAGCAGTCATCTAATCATTCACAGGGTTCTCCTTTTATTCTCAAATCAATAAAACAAAGAAGGAAGGAAAGACACACATGGACTGCCAATGCTGAAAGAAAACAGATTTAAGTTACTCATTACCTTAAACAATACATAAAATAAAAACCCCAAACAGAACCTCACCTCTGCTGCCGCCCCGTGTGGGAGTGAAGAAAGAGTGAGCCAAAAGTGAATGCAGTCCTTATATAATGTGTGACAGGTGAGTGCAATTAAGGACAAGCACCACACCCAATCAAAGGTGAGAGAACTAAACAAGGTGCATCTGGTGAAGTGAGTGGGTGTGCTGGGATGTGCTAAAAGGTGGGTCTTTACAACATGTACAATTCTAAAGAGCTTGAAAGTCAGTATTTGGTGTGACCGGCATTATTCTTCAACACAGGCTGAACTCTCTTCATGGAGCTTTCTCTTAATCTCTAAGTAGTCTGCAGGAATAATTCTCCAGGCTTGAAGGACATTCAAAGCTCTTCTTTGGATGTTGGCCGTCTTTTATTCGGTTCTCTATCACGATGAGGTCTGGGCTCTGAGGAGGCCAAAATCTGACAGTACTTATCTGTGATCA